AGTGCGCGGCGCAATTAATATTTAATTAGCGCTTAATTAGCGCTTGGTTTGTAACGGGCTCGGGCCCAGCAATGGGAGTGCGTTCTGCAGGAATAGCATTGAGCTGTTCGGTTCACAAGTGCGTGCAATTGTCAAAAATAGATTTGAAACTGTTGTAGAACAGTTGATAATTGTTAAGCATTGTTAGTTGGGTTATTATATTGTAAAAGGGGCTAAAAGGGTCGTTATAAGAAATACGGTACGCAATGTACCGTGTTACACCTCAGTAAGGTGCACTGCTCTCCATGCGAAACCAGCCAGCCTGGACAGAACTGTAATGGCGAATCAAGCGCCTTTAACCTTCATGCACATGAAGGATCCAAACAGAAACCAATCCAAAGGGACAAAAAACAGGATAAAAAAGGGGCTTCTGACCCAGTGAATTTGTGCCGCTGGGTCTGGAACATCGGGGGGCATCACTGCTCAAGAAGCCCCAGTGCCGGTGTTGTGGCACCCTCGACGGGAATGCTCCTGCTCGGCCTGCAAGCCCCCATGCTTTAGGCCTTTTTTTATTATAATAAATGCTGAAATTACTTTAGTACCAGGAGTGTGTTTCCGTTTCTGCGCTGTCTTCACGTGTTTCTCTCTCCTGCGCTCCTTGGAGCAGCGCTCCAGGCCCGGCCCTTGCCCTGGTGGAGCGCAGCACCCGGGGCAAAGCGCTGCTCCAGGCTCTGGGGATGGCATCCAGCAATCACAGAATCACAGGTTGGAACAGACCTCTGAGATCATTGAGTGCAACCCATAACACAACACAACACCACCGTGTCAAACAGACCATGCGTGTGCCATGTCCAGTCTTTCCTTAAACATCTCTGAGGATGGTGACTCGTCAAGCAGCCCATTCCAGTGTCTAATCATGTTTTTTGTGAAAAACATGTATTCAACATGAATTATTAGGGGAATGTGAGTCAGAATATAGTACCTCTACCAGTATTATATAAAGAAGGCCCATATTAATGAATACAGGCTAGTACAAGCTCTCAGAGTTATTAATAAAACAGTTTTCGAGGGGGGTCAAAAGCAGAAGAGCCAGTAAAAATACTGCTGAAACCTGACTGGTAAGGCAGAAGCAATATACTTAAAAATGAGATGCTAGAAAAGGGTTAGAAGAATTAATAGGTAAATTTGTGAAGAAAATCCTCTTGTTGTTCATCCTAAACTTCCCCTGGGACAGTGTAAGACTAAGTCCTTTCATTGTGTTGCTGGTTATGTCACTGTAATACATATAGACATAATTTTAAAAATCAACTAGGAAAGTTAATCAAAATAATTAATTAGGGACGTTACATAATTTCCAAGGGTTACTTGGGAACAGAGGCTGACCCCCACCTGTCAGGGATAGGTGGAGACCCCCACTTGCAGAGATAAGGTCACTCCCAAGCCTCCTTTTCTCTGGAAAGTTTCCATACACGACAAAGCAATTGTTTTCTCAGTTTTCATGAATGTTAAAACTTAGTGCTTTGCTCCTCACGAAACAAACAGCCCCATTAGGCTTTCTACCGATAGCTCTCTTCCTTTGAACCTTTTGGGAAGCTAGATATCGTGCAGCTATTGCTTGAACATGTTTTTCAAATTACACATTTTTGATTTTTTCTGTATTCATGTCTATTTCTGCAATTTACATCATGACTTCTAACTTTAGGTTAATGTAAACCACATCTATCTCGTGCCTCCTCTGATTGTGGAGGAGCAGAAAAAGGGCTCCTCTCACCGAGCCAGTCATTAATAAACCCCACAAAGCAGTGATACAACAGCCAGTATTCAATCTGCAAATGGTTATTTATTCTCCTGAAGTCCTGCAGTCATTTCTGTGCTCTGTTAATGTTTATTTGATAATTTGAGGCAAGCTGTCTGTTCTGCATCAAACACTCCATCCAACCCCTCTACTTTTCCAAAGCTCCATACTTTTAATCAGATCAATACACAACCACTAGAATTTTCTTGGAATTATTACCTAGCCAAATATTTGGAACAAAATGGCTGGTTGACTTAACAGAACAACTGAAAGAGAGCATTTTCTCTTAATAATGTAAGAGAAAAACCCTTGAAGGAAAGCCGCCATGTTTCTCTCATTGTCCATGGTGGAGTTCTGACCCTGCATGCTGAGGATGGCATTAGAAACTCGAATTCTTTCCTAAATTGGGCATTTTGACTTTTCTATGGACGTTTACATGGCTTTATCTCAGTAAAAAAAAAACTACATTAACAAGATGTAAATTATTTTAACTGCACGGTGCTGGCACTTTGAGGAGCAGAGGAAGCAGCTGTGTGTGTTGTGAGCCCGAGGAGGGTTACACAGGAGCCCTGCTATGTCAGGAGGGGAAGGGCACTCTCTCCCCAGGACACTTCATGCATTGTTACCTCGGGAAATGAAAGGTATTGGTGGCGATTACAGGGATCTCCCTCTTCATTTTCCTGACAAAGTACAAGGGCCTCTTTGAAGGAGTTCAAAAGACAGGCAGGCACACAGAACTGCAGCAGGTACCAGCCTTTACCTCTGAAGAGTTGACTTCAGAGCCTGCTTAAATAGACGAGAAGTCGTAACAGATCATTCAGCTATTCAGTAGCAGTTCATGCAGCTCCAGCTCCCCCACCTGCAAACCTCCCAAAGCTCCATGACTGCCCCAGTTCAGCCACCACGATGTTGTGTGAGTGCTGTGGGGCAGAGGTGTCCTCTCAAAAATGTGATTTGACATCATCTCTGTATGTCACCTCGAACAGCACCAGTTTCCAGGAGGCTTTTGTGACCCCATCCCCTGAAACAAAAGCCAAATGAGACTGAGACAGCATGGCAGCAAGGAGAAAAACGCTGCCCAGGGCTTGGGGGATTCATCTTCCCCATGGAGATGGAGAGCTTAAACCCCCATGGGCCCTGCTGTGGTAAAGAGGGTGTGTAGGGGATTTAGGAGTGGCCAGGGGGAGCTGCTGTCAGCTGTAGTCACCAGGGACAGTTTCCATGAGTCCTTCCAAGCTGCTTTAAACCTCCCTGAGATGTGCTCTGACGCTGCACTGGTGACTGTGAGCACTTTCTTTCCTCTGAAAGTAAAACCCCACTGAACCTGCCCCTCTTTCTCTGCACACATCTGCCCCAGCTCCCATGTCATGGTGCCATCCATGGGCTGTGTGCTGGCAGTAACTGCAGGGTGTGAGAGCAGCAGCCAAAAGACTGGAGACATCTGTCTGACTGCTGAAGGGTAAAGGAGCCCCTTTCCCTCAGAAGTGCTGCAATAAAGATGTTACTATTTTTAAAATGGCACCAGTGGAAAAGCAACAAAGGGATTTGTTGTATTTCTGATGAATTCTGGTCTGTTTGAGAGCTCTTTGCAAGAATAAACATCAAGGATCTCAGAAATGTTAACATTTTCAGTGTTTCTGGTTATATACACAGGTTTTGGGTGGTGGGAGTAACAAAACAAAACTTGGGCTGTTACTGAAGTCACAGCACAAAATCAATAAGAAAAGGGACCAAAAGTGCAATTTAGGCATCAAAAGATCTCTTATGTTATCCAAAACAAAGCATACATTAAACCAATAGAGTTATTGCACCAGTCTCTCATTTAATCTTCTAGGATCATAAAAATTTCAATTTCTCTGTGAGACCATTCTAGCCACACACAGCACTTGGGATTTTTGTGTTTATAAAACAGAACCCACCTCTCCTTTGAAATTGCTTTGGCTCCTGAGTCACCATCCAACCAATCTTGTCCTCAGCAGGCAAACAAGCACATATTTTACAGTCAGTGAAATATTTTTCTTTCAAAAAGGTTACAGAAAACATTTTCTGGACATTTATTCTTTTTATTTCCTTAGTAATAGAAGAGAAGCAATGATTCATATGACTTCTCTATTTCAGTTGTTTCAAAAAAACTGTTAAC